GGGGGGGGGGGAGACGCCAGGCTGGCACGCATCGGCAGCCGGGTTCCCCAGCCTCCGGCCCACGCCAGCCAGCAGAAGAGACGCCAAGGGGGGCTAGCAAAGCCGCTGGCTATGCCAGGCCCAGAGCCCACGCTGTCCTCCGGTTGTCTGCTCCGGCACGAGGGGTCCTGTGGGGGCGGGGGAGAGAGCCGTGCAGGGCGTCAGCCCGGGAGCTCAGGCAGGAAGGGGCATGCTTCCTGCCTTCAGCTCCTGGCGATGCCCCCCCATCTCCTCCACAGCCCCACTGAGCTGGCCCCCGCTGTCCACACTGCCTGGGGCGCAGGACCCCGGGGAGCGTCTGCAGCACCCACTGCTGAGCGGGCCCCCGAGCACCCTCCCTGCGGGTGCACAGAGCCCTTGTGTGGGCCCAGGTCCCCCCTGCCCACTGCCCGGAGCGGCTCTTTAGCACGAGCTGTGGGACTCCTGCTCTGAGCCCAGAAGGTCCCCGATGTGCAGCCAGTCCGCTGGCCCTCGGCGCACGACCCCGCAGACACCGCAGCCCTCCAGGGCAGGGCCAGGGGAGCCCGGCCTGCTAGCTCCGCGTTCGGGGCAGGTTTCAGAGCTGAGCCCCAGTGAGTCCCGCTCCCCAGCCCTTGGAGTGTCACCTACCCTGGGCGAGGCTCCAGCCAGCTGTGCGTTGCAGTGAGCACCAGCAGCAGCAGCAGCAGCAGGGAGACGCTCTGGGGCCTGGGCCTGGCGTCTGGGCAGGCAGCAGGCATCAGTTCCAGAAGTCTGGAGGGAGAGGAAGCGTTTGAGGGTCAGAGCAGCGCCCAGGCCAAGGCACCTCTGTGCAGCACCCCCCAGATGGCGGGGGACGGGGCAGAACAAGGTGGGGCCGGGTCCTGAAGATGTGGGAGGGGTGAGCTCAGCAGGAGCTGGTTCTAGGAGGGGCCGGGGTGGGGCGGGGAGGGGAGCGCCCAGGCCAAGGCACCTCTGTGCAGCACCCCCCAGATGGCGGGGGACGGGGCAGAACAAGGTGGGGCCGGGTCCTGAAGATGTGGGAGGTGTGAGCTCAGCAGGAGCTGGTTCTAGGAGGGGCCGGGCTGGGGCGGGGAGGGGAGAGCCGGGTCAGCGTTTCTGGGCCAGGCCCCGGGGAGGACGGGTAGGGTCCCCGGGTGGGGGGGAGTCGCAGCCTGGACGCACTCACCTGAGAGCTCTGAGGAGCCCCTGCACATTTTGATGTTGGTGCAGAACTCGGTGGAGTCCTCGTTGTTTTGCAGCGCCTCCGAGATCTGATCTTTGTACTTTTTCAGCAGCGATTTGCACACGCGGGCCACGCGCTTGCCCAAAGCCTTGCACGCGGATCTCAGGGCGCTGTTGATGGCGTCCTGTGGCGAGAGCCCTGGCGTGTGAGCTACGGCACCGCGCTCCGCCCGACAGCTCCTCTCCCGCGACCTACACATCACC